ACATTTTAAAATAAGAATACTGTTGTGCAGTGGGTTAGCCACATGGAAGAATTGCTGAGACGCACATGATACACTGCACACTTTACTAGTACACAACACGCGCACCCACCAACGGCCGACCGGCCGCTTATATACAGTCTGGAGAACCTCCCATTGGCCTATTCAAACCTCCCGCCAATGTCCCATTGGTTCCCCTAGTGGCAGGGTGCAGGAGCCTGGTCCCCATTGTTCTCCGGACTCAAGCTCCGCTGTATCGCGGGCGCCCAGTGGCGGTCCGCGGACACAACAAATACCTTGATGAGAGAATAGCTAATTAATAATGAAATTATATTAGGAAAATGCTAGTATGAATCACAAACCAGCTGAGATGAAAGATTAGGATTTAAACCACTATTTCAGTGAGACTAAGGGTCAAACTATATATTTGAAGTAATACCCTAATGCCTTTAAAAATAAGGGTAGTATTTATAGTGAAGATAAGACCAGGAAAGGGGTCTTCCACACATCCCCCTGCCCACCTTTTGTCCATTGCAATTTTTTTCCTTAATTGCTTTTCATAGCACAGGATTCCAAATGCATGCTTATCCTTGCAAGACTTATGAATCCTACCGGAGGAAAGCCACTGAGGGAAGTGAATTTGAAGCATAGAACTAGCTGGTGTGGAAAATGTTACTCACTATTTCCTTCCCCCACTACTTCTGAATTCCCTCCTCCCGAAATGGCTTTGCTTTTAAAGAAAAAGCATTAAACCACCGTTAGACACATTATCAAATAATGTGTTCTTCAGTGTACTAGGTTCTACCCTAGGCTGTGAGGGAAAAAGTCAGACCATCCTCATATATTTTATGAACTCTCCTGCCTGCATTTTGCTGCACTTAAGCACAATCTGAATCCATGTTTCTGACTCACAGTGCTTTGTTCAAATTTTTTTTAATGTGATTTTGTTATTACTTCCTCCCTGATCCCACTGAAGTATGCACTAACTGTTTATGTTCTTTGCTCCCTCTCCTAAGTGAGACAATAGGAAGGGAAAGTCCCTTTGATGCGGAACAGAATGAATGAATCATTCAAAAAGTAATGGCATTTCCAGGCCAATAGTCTGTTTTTGTCTAGTGATCTGATTTCCTTTTTCCTTGAAGTGGCCACATGATCATGTCAAGTGTCTCTGCAAAAAAAGAGGTCAGTTTTGTTGTTGATTAGAATGTCACTGAAAATGAGAATTGGCAAATTATTTTGGTACAAGAAAGTAGAAGGGAACATGTATTCATGCCCACCCCTTGCCTTCAGAGGTGTCCAGATATTCCATTCAGATCTGGAGCATGGAATGACTCATGCAGCTTTAATGAACTAGATAGCTGCTGGAGTCCTACTGTGTGTTCAGTGAGTAAGCATATTAGGACTGCTGATTCAAAGAAGTGCAAAGAAGTGCAAGCTAATGCCCTTAAACTCAAAGATAACTTCCTCTAGCAATGTTCTTGTCCCCCGTTTTTCAGAAAAAGCAACTTTTCCTTTTAAAAACTCTTGCAAGAAATAGAAGCACAGAAGTACCTTTTCTCATACACAGGTTCTTATTATCATGTTCTTTATCTTGGTAAAAATTAATCCTGTCCTATGTCTCCTGACTGTATAGTGCTGGATTCATCACTAACATAGTTTACATATTGCTTCTTGGGTATTTCACACGTATTTCCTCCCTAATCTTTGCAGAATTATACAAAGTGGTGGTGGAAAGTGCTGCCAAATCACAATAGGCAAGTTTTATTATCCTCATGTTGCAGGGGCTAGGCTGAAAGGAAGTAGTTTGTCATATCCAGGTTTATAGCAGAGGCTAGATTAGAGCCTGGCCAGCTCTGCATATACCCCTTCTATGAGGAAAGCAGTGCATATGCTCTTGGCCAGCCCTGTGGACTATACAGTCCAGTCTAGTCCCATAGAAGTCACTGGGGAACTGGCATAGCCTGAAAGACAGCACACACTTGTACTGTGAGGGCTAGAACAGCGTACCTGGATATACTTTAATGTCCAGGGGTTTAGAGACAACATATGCCACACATGGCACATTTAGTCTTCGCAGCCCTTACCAGGATGTTCCATGCAATGTTCCCTCTAAACTGAGTTAGTGTGAGCTAGCTCACAGTTTTTTAGTCTCTGGCTCACATCTTTTCGTCCTAGCTCAAGAAGGGTGGCTCCAGAGCAAACTAATTTATGCAGTAGCCAAATTGCTCGCTCACAACTTTTAATGCCAGTAGCTCACAAAGTAGAATTTTTGCTCACAAGACTCCACAGCTTAGAGGAAGCATTGGTTCCTTGTTTGTTTGTTTGTTTATTTAAAACATTTCAGTGCCTCCTCTTCAGAGCCCTGCTTGAGGCAGTTTACAATTAAATAAAATGGCATAAGAAAACCAAGACATTAAAAACAAGCTATTAGACATAAGCAGCATAAAAACTATCCACAAAACACAGCAAACTGTTAAAAAGCTAAGATAAAACCCCTAATTAAAAGCCTGGGTAAAAAAAAGATGTGTTTTAGCCTGGCACCTAAAAGAAAGTAAAGTAGGTGCCAGGTGAGCCTCAAGGGGGATGCCATGCTAAAGGCGAGGCAACATTGCAGAAAATGCCCTGTCTCTAATGGCCAGCCGCCTCACCTCTGAAGGTAGGGCCACAGAGAGAAGAAGAGATATTGGATTTATACCCCACCCTTCACTACCCAAAGGAGTCTCAGAGCGGCTTACAAACTCCTTTCCCTTTCCCTCCTCACAACAGACACCCTGTGAGGTAGGTGGGGCTGAGAGAGCTCTGACAGAAACTGCTCTTTTCAAGAACAGCTGTGCCAGAACTATGGCTTGCCCAAAGTCATCCAGCAGGTGCAAGTAGAGGAGTAGGGAATCAAACCCAGTTCTCCCAGATTAGAGTCCGTGCACTTAACCACTAAAGTGGAGCTGCGGTGGCTCAAGTGGTTAAGATGCTGAACTGCGGGCTGTGGAAGGTTGGTAGTTCAGCAGTTCGAGACCCGAGTGTGCTGCATGATGGAGTGAGCTCCCATCTCTACTTCCAGCCCCTGCCAACCTACCAGTTCGAAAGCAAGAAATTGCAAGTAGATAAATAGGTACCACTTCGGTGGGAAGGTAACAGCGTTCCGTGCGCCTTGGTGTTTAGTCATGCCGGCCACAGGACCACGGAAACTTCTTCGGACAGCGCTGGCTCTTCGGCTTTGAAACGGAGATGAGCACTGCAACCCTAGAGTCGGATTCAACTGGCTTTCAAGCAAGGGAACCTTTACCTTTTACTTAACCACTACACCAAACTGGCTCTGATTTAAGAGGCATATCTTAACTGGCAGGAAGGATACTATGGGGGGAGAAAGTCCTTCAAGTTAAGTTCCCTGGCCCTAAACCATTTAGAACCTTAAAGGTAAGAATCAGCACTTTGCACTGTGCCTGAAAACAGATGCGTAACCACTGAAGATCTTTCAGCATAGGGATGATACAATCGTAGCTGGCAAACCAGCTGTAGCTGATAAAAAGGCACTATGTACCACAGAGGAGACCTGAACCTCCATCTGTAGGCCATGATCCAGTAGCACCTCAAGGCCACAAACCTTCAGGGGGAGTGCAATCCCTCCAAAACAGGCTGGCTCCACAACACCCAACCAGCTTCTTCACTGACCAACAGCACCTCAGTCTTAGAACGTTCCTCATTCTCTAATCCAGAGAACCAGAACTCCTTATTCAGAGTTGAAAATAAAGCCACTGAAACTAAATAAGGCATTTGACAAACAGAAGGACCTCTGCATCAACCATTCTTGTAATAAACTTTCACACATACATTCATTTTAATCCTTTCCCCAAAAGCAATTTTCTACCGCACATTGGTACATATCACGTGGATCTGTGGACTGATTTTGTTTGATGCACTAATATAAAATAATTTGGAAACTAGCTGGGCCCCCATATGGGGCCCCACTGAAAGTGAAGATAAATTGGTTGTGGATATTGTTGAAGAGAAAAGAAACCCATATTCTCCAAGTGCCAGAGAGCCAGCTGATGTGAGTTGCATAGGGCTGCTTCACATGGCAACACTTCACATGGCAACACTTTCCTTTGGAAGCTCCATTGTTGCTGGGACTGCCAACATAACTCAGCAGCAGCAGGACTTCCAGATTATGAAGTCCCCTGCATTTCCCCTGCCCTAGTCTCAACAGCAACCATTCCCCCCTGCCACAAAGAGGGCTTTTTCCAGGTTTTTAACTGGTAATTGACATACTGATATACCATTATGTTAGTACCTTATTTGTCAATTACTGACTCTGAAAAATCTTCAAGAAGTCCCCTCAGTGGCAGAAGGAATGGATGGTGCCAGGACTGGGGAAGAGAAAAGGGCTGTCATGCAGCCAGGACTAGAAAATTCAGACTTTCCCACCCATATTGCAGCCATCCAGGTTTACTGAAATCTTTCACAAAACTTTGCAGCAAATCATATTTGGAAAAGATCAAAGAAAAGCAGGGAAAAAACTGGGAAAACATGTGAAGGGGGGGGGAATCTGCTTTCCAACAGCATTGAACCTAGGGCAAATAAACCATGTGCAAAAGGTCTTAGTGATGCTCACCTGGTGAGATGTCTTAGTGCCAAATGCTGTTTCTGTATTTTCTACACCAGTTTTCCTAGTGGTTTCTGAAATACAAACATCATAGATACAGGTTGCAAGTTGCAAAATGTAATAACTTTTATTAGGACCAACAGAAATGACATAAAACAATGTGAGATAGATTCAGGTGGGTAGCTGTGTTGGTCTGAAGCAACAGAACACAGTTTGAGTCCAGTGGCACCTTTAAGACCAACAAAGTTTAATTCTGGGTATAAGCTTTTGTGTATCTTCAGATACATTGAAATAGACTTCCTCAAGCCTTATAATGTATCTAAAGAAGTGTGCATGCACAAAAGGTTATACCCAGAACTAAACTTTGTTGGTCTTAAAGGTGCCACTGGACTCAAACTGTGTTTTATAAAACAATGTAGAAATCTTTGAGTTTTCCAAAAATTTTCATGAGAGTGGATGGGGGAGGATGCTGGAGGCCATAATCTAAAGTCTTATAAGCATCCTGAGTGAAAGGCTGAGCAGGTATTTTCCTTGCTGGAAAAAATAGTTAAGACATTTACTCTTTTTAAAAAATGAAAATTGGATATTAGCACATTGTAAGGACTGTTACCTGCTCTCTCTGGATCCAAAGACAAAACAGCCTTGCAGCCGAAATCTGCATCCTCTTCAAGTATTCTCTTTTTATGCAATTTCTTGCTGATGGCCTGAAGGTCTTTCTGCAGAGCAAATTTATAGTATACTGAGTGTTTAAAAAAAATTAACTTCAGTGTAGGTAGGACAGAACCCAACTATCTGCATCCTGCATTGCAGTGTAAATTAGTTGCATGAAAAATTAAAATCTGTGGTTTTTGTTAATCAATCTACTGATTAAATGCACTAAAGTCTGCAGTTCTGAGGAAAAAGAGCATACGCACAGGGACATCTACGGAGAAAATTTATAACTTTTTAAGATTAATTTAGCAGTTATATCTTCCCCCTAAGAATTCTCTGTATTACAGTTTGGTGAAACAGCTAAGAATTCCTTATTAGATATCACCATCACCAATACACAGTTCCATGGGATTCCGCACACAAAACAAATGGAAACCTGTGGTTTAGAGGTTTACTCAAAGAATCATGCAGCTGGGAATCTTCCTGTCCACTCTGGTTATGTTTGGAGGCTTTGCTTTGGGTGCCTTCCCCCATCTGCCAGGTGGCAACCCCAGAAAGGGCCTTCTTGGTCACAATACTGAAACTCTGGAACTCCCTCCCCAGGAAGATTTGGCTGTTTCCCTCTGTCATTGTCTTCCACCAGCAGGTAAAGACTTAAAAAAAAAATTGGTGTACCACTAGTAAACTCTTATTGGCCCTCCTCCATGGCTGTGTTGTGTTTGTATGTCTATATGCTTTTATTGTATTGTTACATATTTTACATCTTAAATGTGCCTTTAATGTTTTAAATGCTTTAATGCCTTGAGATTCACTGCCTTGGGGACCCATTTGGGTGGAAAGGCAATACAATTTTAAAAAAACAAACAAACAAATAAATAAATGTTTGGTGTAGTGGTTAAGTGCGTGGACTCTAATCTGGGAGAACCGGGTTTGATCCCCCACTCCTCCGCTCGCAGCTGCTGGATGACCTTGGGCAAGCCATAGTTCTGATAAGAGCTGTTTTTGAAAAAGAGCAGTTTCTGTCAGAGTTCTCTCAGCCCCACCTCCCTCACAGGGTGTCTGTTGTGAGGAGGGGAAGGGAAATGAGTTTGTAAGCCACTCTGAGACTCCTTTGGGTAGTGAAGGGCAAGGTATAAATCCAATCTCTCTTCTTAAATGTGCTCTTAGAATTTCTTGAGCATGATAGCAGTTCATCAGTGAACCAAGCTGCCCCTAGACCATCCTGCCTTAAAGAAACAGTGAACAGATACCTCCCACTGATATTTTAATATATGATGGCCTGTCTTTGAGCAGTTGCTTTTAAATGTATAGTAGTATGTAACTCTGCCTTCTCAACTTACACTATAAGTTCTGGAAAATGACATGAATCTAACCTGTTCTTGTACCTTAGTGCTGTTCTCCTCTTCTTCCTCCTCACAGTCCAGTCCCTCATGGGAGATCTCAGTAGGGCCACTCTCTTCAACCAGGCTGCTCTCCAGCATCCCCATCCTTTTGCTCTCAGTTGTTACTCTCACTTTCAGAACATGAAACCCAGTGGAGACTGATCCTACTTTTAGGTTCACTGGGTTGCCATCAAAAAGCAGGCAATCTGGTCTGCTACCTTCCTTAAAGCCAGGGGGCTGATAATCATCAGGTGTGACTGCAAAGGAAAGATACATGCAATCCTAAATTACACAAGCTCTTTAATCTGCAATAAGGAATAAATGCAATTCTGACAGCAAGAAGCTGGGTTGGACAGAGGAAGAGAGAACACAAAAGCAATCATGCCTAGTCCACTGGGCACTGTGGCTACATACCTTTATAAATGCATATTGAGCACAGTGCAAAGCATCAAGGGTCTCAAACAGTGGAACACAGGTGAAAAGTGGAAGTTGTTGCATCGCACTCTGCTGTGGCTTCAGCACTATCACTGCAGTTGGCCAGAAAGTTGTATTCTTTCTACCTGCTCTACAAATAGCAGGTGACACACAGGTCTGATAGGTCTTTGCACGGCCTTATGTAGTTACTGTGACCAGAGTGCTCAATCTGAGCATTTTATCACAGACTTTCACACTGCCCCTCCACCCCTTGTTTTCAGATTCCATGCCGGCTTGCCCTCAGGCTGCCAGTTCTCACACACAATTTGATACCATCAGGTTCCCACTCTTCAGTGCTATTTACTGACCACTAAATGGTCAGGGCGGGGGAGGGTGGCAGTTTCACCACATACCATCACTGTAGTAGAAGAGCTTCATAGTCAAAGTAATATCATTAGGAAGTGGTCCGAGATTCTGCATTAGGACATACAATTTGCGGATCAGCAGGATGCTGACTTCCTTAATTTCCTCGCTGTTTACTCTGTTCATAGAGCTTACTTGAGTGCTGCAACCAAAAGGAAACAGAAATTAAAGTTTGTCCCAAGCCAGTGTAACAAAAATTACAAAAAAGAGGTCAAGCCTCGATAATTGCTAAGAATGGTTACTGAAACAAGCTACAGAAGCACACTTTAACCCCAAAAGCAAGTATGCTTGAATGCAGACGCACAGAATTAGGTGTAAATATTGTCATGCTGGAGCTGAGCAGCATTGTCAGCGGTGGTATTAGCCAGTGGGCAACAGGGGCAGCATACTTGGGGGGGGGGCTCTTACCACACACAGCCTGTCCCCCAAAAGAGAGGGGAAAAGAATAGAGCAGGTTCCTGCCAACACTTGTGCCTGCCCCACCTGGGGTCTGAGCAACTGACTTCCACTGGTGGCTCCCACCTACTTTACAAGGGGTGAGAGCCACCCCTTGCTTAGCCCCAGTAAGAAGTGATGGTGGGAGGCAGAGTTCCCTCTGAACTGAGTTAATGTGAGTTAGCTCACAGTATAGAATTTCTGCTCACAAGACTGCACAGCATTGGTGGGTGGTGGCAGTGATTCTGAGGCACCATTCTGGACTTTTTCCCAGGCCCACCTGAGCTGACAATATGAACTAACTCAAAATATTGCACCAGATTAAGAGTAGCATGCAACAATGCTACTACTAAACTGGCAACAGGTACCATTGCAAGATGTGGTGTATCTATTCTAATTGCTATAGCCAACTAAATTCTTGCAGACAACTAACTCCTCACACAAGCAGTCCACTCTCATGAACAATCAGACTGATGAACTCATGGAAGACTGCTATTTCAATCCCCTGAACTTTAAAATTGCTATTAATTGTCCAGTTCACAGTATGGGAAACATGATTTCACGTGGATTTGCAGTTTTGAATTTTAGTTAGTCATGCTACTTGGCCAATTACATGAACAGTTGCTTGCAAGAGTGACCAACCAATGGAACATGGGGACAAAAGTGAGATATACTAAGTCATTCTGCAACCTATAAAAGGGCTGAGAGGGAATATGGAATAAGAGATGTACTTGAGGTACATCTCACTTACACATCTGCCACCTGAAGGTGTTTTGCCCACCACTGAGCTACTTGCAGAGAATTTTAACCATCTGTATTGATATACTGTAGCACACTGTTTGACAAGAATGCAACCTATAAATAAGCTTACCATTCACAGTATCACTCTCTGGTACCAGGGCATCTGTGTTTGCTTAAGCAACTACCTATTCTACAGGAATGAAACATCAATCTCTCAGCATTACAGAAGCTAAAATAGCAAGAGTATTTCCAGCAGAAACAGTACCACTCTCTATGCCCCAGCACCAAACACAGAACATCCACTGCTACATATAGAACACAAAAGGGCAACTGAGTCTTTTTCATCATCCTAATCAGATAAATTAGAAAGACAGACTTGCAAAAAGTGGCAGTCAATTGCCTAGAATTGCAAAGCATGTTATTAATACATAAATTATTATGCCTGTATTAATTTCCTTTAAGGAAGAAGGGACCAATGTAGAGACAACTAAATTTCCATCACAGAGATTATGGCTGAATTCAGACTGGCAGGTTGAAGTGGGAGCCAGTCGCGGCAAAAAGCCCTGGAACAAACTGTTCCGGGTTTTCCCATTCACATTGCAGCAACTGATGTGGGAGCATACCGGGAGGAGGTGCGCGGGAGCATTTAGACTGCTGGCCAGGAGGTATGGCTGTAAAGGGCTTTTTTCTGCTAATTCAGCCATGTGCGCATGTGCACATGAGCGCATATGCACTCATGCGCATAAGCACATCCGCCCGATTTGGGGAGGATCCCATAGCACTGGCACCACATTGGGCAGTAGAGTGGAGCACAACCAATCATACTGCTGCTGCCTTATGTCCAACATGGGTTGCTCCCGGCTTTTCGGGTTGGCGTTCACACATCCCAGAAGTGGGATAAACGGGCTCTCCAGGATTTGCTACCACTTTTAAGAGGTATGTTTTAAACGTGGGAGTGAAGTGGAACAGCACGGGTTGACTATGGGTGGAGAATGCTGGACAGATGTGCCGGTGTGAACACCCCATTTAATCCGCTTGTGAGCCGTTCCTCACACGCGGATATACCGGGGCAAACTGCCCATCTGAATTCGGCCTATATTATGATTAATTACAGTGTGTTAAATGGACTTCAGTGCATCTGAATGTGAGAACTGGTCCTTGACACCCAGTTGCAATTCATGCAGCAAGGATGAACACGTGATGAATTTTCCCTCCACAGAAAGCGTCCCCCCCGCAAATTATCACAGTAAGGCTGCAATCACACACACAATTAGCCTCACCATAGGTGTGAATGCCGGGTGGATTTCAAGGGCGCAATCAGACACGAACATCTGGGAAGTGCCCCGCACCCAATGGCAACCCGTTTTGCTCCACTGCAGAAGCGGAGCAAAAGGAAACCAGGGAAAATCCAGTAGTAAACAGGTTGCGACTGGCCACGGACGGACTTTCCCATGTTTGATCGCTCCAGTGCACTCTCATGGCGTCGGAATGGTCTGATCAAGCCATCCTGACTCCGTGTTGTTGTCCCCCCCCCCCTTCTCAGTATGTGCATCATCACAAACTCCATAGGGAGCCCTCAGTGTGGAGATGCGATTCATCGATTTGTTTAAGCGCATTGGAAACAAACAGCAAAAAACCCCAACCGACGCACCCGCAGGTGCATCTGATTACGCAGTGGTGGGCTGTGCCCACAGCTTCCAAGGACTGTGTGATTGCACAACTGCGGGTCAAATTCCTCGGGAGGAAATAGCCTCGCTCCCCCCCTGCAGACAAGTTGATAAATACGTAGTGGATTCCTTTATAATGTAAATTTCCACATAATTTCTGCCACATGAAATGGGAGAGGAGCACCATATGACAGGAAATTGCTAAATTTGCACCTTAGCTAACACATCATGGGCCCCGGCCACACGGGGGGAAATGACGCGGCCAAAGTGCGGCTTTTTAGAGCCACACCAAGAGACACGTGACGGTAGGATCAAACATATCCCCTGAGCCACCACGCAGTTGCTCCCCGGCACGATCAGATGCCGGTGGGGAAGCCACGGAAGGGAGAGCGAGGCAGGCGGCTGCGCATGTGTGCGTATGCGCAGTTTGGCCGGGAGCTTTGACTGCTCCTGAAGATGGGCGCGCTGGCGATCCCACGGCCGCGCTTACTGAGGCGTTACAGGTTGGTCCTACTATTCCCTTGGGTTTTTTTTACAGCGCATTATCGGCCTGACGGGACGGATCGGGTGCGCACTGCTTCCCAGATGTTGTGGTGTGATCGCGCCCATTTCCTGCGCCCCCGATCCGTCCCTCTTCCGCGCCAAAACCTCCCGGACTGAGGCCTTAGTTTGTCTGAGAAGTCACATAGAAGCCTTGGTTAACTCACTATTGTCTTTCAGCCATGTAGCCTGATCCTGTGCATTATTCTGCATAAGTAAGCCCTCTGCATTCACTAGCATTATATCTTAAGGAAAGATCGCTTTAATTCTTCAAGTGTAAACTGGCTGTTATAATGAACCAAGCTGTTGTGGTGGTGGGGGGGGAGTGAGCAATCAAGGACTGTAAAGTATTTTGCATATTAAAAACATGATATAAAAGACAAATAACAAAACAAAGGTCTATGAACATAGCAGGAAGTTTGCTTCATTCAAGTATGCAAACACCACTCTCCGTTTCTCCAGAAACAGTGATCATGTACCTAGCAAAGTCCATCTGGGCTCCAGTCTTCGAATATTTGAATGTGAACTGGTAGAGTTCTGTCACATGCTAGATAACCAAAAGGAAAAAGAGACCAGTTGTAACAAGCTATCATAACAAATACCCTTGTGACCATCAAGGGGTTTTCTTATCACACAAGAATACCCACTCTGTTTCAGTCTCCTGAGATTAATTCAAGTGAGCTGTCTTTTGACATGTTCCTTCAATCAATTTATTTTTCCACAGATACTCTTAATGTGCTATATGAAGGGCAGCTCCACATTCTATATATAATAAACAAGTTCACTGCATGTACAACAGTGTTATATAGGTAATTCCATGTTGTGCTCATTTAATTACTTACATGTACGTCCAGCCTTATTCTTACAATTTAATCGTGATTTTATTTTACTCTTAATAACACTCTTAAGGTGGTTTGTGCTAATTACAAAAGCAGAAAACAGAGACCACCATACTTAGAAATGTACGGTGGTCTGTTTTTAGGGAGAAATCCCTAGGTATACAGAAAAGTGTAACTCTATAAATTAACTAAAAGAAAAAAAGGTTAATGAGTTCTAAGCCTGCTCGAGAGCACACAGATCATTAACAGCAGTTAAGAATCTACCAAAGGACAAAAACAATTCAAAACCAGAGAGGAATTGGGAATTGGCCTGCTGAAGTTCCAGTAGTTTATAAAATCTTGGAGGAGGAGTTATGACTATGGAAGAGTAATTCCAAATCATTTCCACAATTCCTTTGGGACCCCCAGCTTGTACTCTCTAATAGCAATAGCAGTTAAGGTTGGGATTTTTGCATGCTCAAAGGGCCCCGAAGTTTGTTTTTTAAAAAATAATCCTTCTGACTGGCCTGATGTTGAGAGTCATGGGCATGCAAGGGAGAAATTAGTTCACAATATCCTAAACAAACCACAATCCACATATCTTTTATTTAATACCAGCTACAGCAATACAAAACAGTGTGCGAGCTTTTGATTTACACTAGAATTCTTCAGGCTGGATGTTACAAACTAAAAAATAAAGGTGGAGGGAGAAGTTCCAGATATTGATCTCAAAAGCCTATAGTTGCTAGCCTCTCTGTGCTGAATGCTGTTGGGCAAGTAGATATGCATTGGTGCATGTGATGTCAGGTTGCACTCTAGTTCCTCTGAGCAAGAAAAAAAATGGTGTTCATCCACTGGAATGGCAAAGGCCAGCAGTTTCTTGAATCTGTCTGACACCAAGTGGGAAGCAAAGATCCCTTATGTGGCAGAGGATAAAGGAAATACTTGATAGTCTATTAACAATTTTTGAGATATATTTAAGGTGATGCATAGGGTATAAAGATAAATAGAGCCAAATTGGATAGATTTACCTCTTATTTTTTATTTTGACTTTGGACCAGTATGAGGGCTAACAACCTTTGCCTACTGCTCAATATCCTACCAACGTATCGTGTCCAGTATCCTACCAATGTATAGTGTCCAGGAGAGAGGGATTTGCCTCATTGGAGGAAACTTCCCAAATTCCCCCCTTCTCCTTCCTATGTTTTCTCAGAGGCTCCCAGCTTGTATAGTAAATTACTGCTTGGCAGGAAATGTTTCAATGGAGCTGCCATAGTTCATGGAGCATAGAAATGGCAACTGTATGTATGGCCAAAAAAAAAAATTAAGAAAAAAACATGAGACAATTTGCTTACAATGAATAAGCAACAATATATTTAGGGTAAAGGTAAAGGTTTCCCTTGCTTGAAAGCCAATTGAATCCAACTCTAGGGTTGTGGTGCTCATCTCTGTTTCCAAGCCAAAGAGCCAGCACTGTCCACAGACGTTTCCGTGGTCATGTGGCCGGCATGACTAAATTCCAAGGTGCACAGATATATTTACTACCTCACAAATGAATTCTTTCATTGAGAAGATATGAGGGAAAATACCTATCTCTGCAACAATGGAATAATATTCAACTGCTGATTAAAAAGAAAAAAGAAAAAGCCCTGTGCTAGCGGGGGTGGATAAACACTGTTGGGAAACCTGGGCACAGTAATCATGGAGAAACTTGCCAGGTGGAAGCCCAACTGGTGCATCACTGTACTAGCTGTTGCAGCAGCAGCAGGAAAATTACACATGCCTGTCCATGTGTGGAAAATACCTTTATTTACTTAAAAACTGTTGGGAATGGCCCACACTCACATTCTGGATTGGCTCTTGCTTTAAACTGGCCTCTCTTAGTAACATCCCCTACATTTCTGTTGGGGAACATAAAGGTATGGGTCTAATGGATGTACATTGCATTCATTCATTGTAAATAGTAATCACTATCCCCCCCCCACTTGTGTACCGTCATATTCTAGCTTAACAGTGGGGGTGATAAATGGAGGGCTGACTGCCTTGACCCCTTCTACTCTTGGCAGATCCATTACTTGTATAGAGGCACTGCTTTAATGGTGACTAAAGCCTTTAGAGGAGATTTTTGGAAATGCCCTCCTGCCATTCCCCCCATTTAGCAAGCATGTGTCATGTTTGTGCATGTTGATGGGAGCTTATATTTTGGCTCACTTAAGCATAAAGACATCATTTCTACAATATCTCCGATTTCCTGTTTCATCAGACTCTCTTACCTCAGGTTCTTGGGGATTTGTATAGATCTGTTTTAAGAAAGCAGACAATTAATTTTGCCCTTTCCTTGCATTGTCACAGGAAAATAAAGCATAGTTTTGTTTGGTCATTGACAAACTGCCTAAATTTTTTAATCCTCCTTCCTATACCTATAACAGTTGTACAAAATGAACAAATAGTGAAAACTGAGAACTGTCAATAATACCCATCTTTGCCTCAAACGAGTCATTTTCCATTAGCTCAGTTTCTATTCAAAAAACTCAATACGTCGTACACTCACAATGATAACTGTGGTCAGTTTCCAAACCACCCACCAGATAGCGCTTCCCAAAAATTTTTAGTTCTAACAGTAGATAACCCATTTGGAAATTTCAGTTACAATATCTAGAGCATCAAGCCTACTACAAAGGCAAGCTAGAAAATGAGTACTATGAAACTGGTTTCAGGATTTTGTTAAAGGGGAGAGTTACAATCTTTTTAAAAAATCTATCACGCCAAGTGAAGAAATTGACTTTTTAGTCACGAAACCTACTAGTTGCTAGGAAAATTAAAACTTATGATGCATTCCGACATCACTTTTAACAGACATTAAATGTGAATGTGCATGAACTCCCTTGTTCCTGGGCATCTCCTCCGTGGCCAAAGGATTCCTGGCTCCTTTAAATAATATATACCTTTCAGCACTTCTATCTCTGTCTGAAAATACAGGGATCAAAAAATCTTAGGTGCCATGGCATCTAGAAATTTCATTATGGTGCCTAGTATTTTCAGCAATGATTTGATTTTAGTGTCTCTCAGCAATCCTCTGAAGTACAAGCTTATTTATCATCTCACATCAGAACATTTTGTTGTACGATATAAAACTGCATGTGAATGAAGTTATTGTCCCTGTTTGTTTAGATGTTAACTGTACACCATTTACTGGTGGTAGATATATTCAATTTTCTTTTTGGACTCTGTGCATCACACTGAGGGGATCCTGAGAGACCATCTTCAGAAGTTTTCAGAGCTAAATGTTTTAAGTGCAAGCACCAGCTGCCCATGCCTGGAGCATACAGAGCTGCATTCCTACTCAATTCTTTGTTGCAGTGGCTTTCCATGCTTTCTGGCTCCGATTTTCAATTAAATGGAGCTTTTTAAAACAATTATGAAATTATGAAAAGTTGGAAAGAAGTTAGGTTAGGGTTACAGGATCCATTTCTGTTATGTTAATGACAGACAGGGTTTCCCCCATGTTTATCTATATACTGCAGCATTTTTGTCATAGCTTTAATAAAATTAGAAGAAACTTGAAGGCTGAAAAATGCATCTGGCTTCTAAATTTTTGGGCTGGCTCCTAAAGCCAAATAAATTCATCAAGGCCATTTTTTCATTTGCCTCTTTATTCCAGAAAGCCCTAGTTCATCTACTGTATTCAGCATTGCACCCCATCAAGCCAAAACAAATCCTTACGTGACCACAACACTGATTCAGCTGTGCCAACTGCTAAAGTTTTGGTGAGTGTTTTTTTGTTTATTTGTTTTGAGGTACTTCCTTGCAAGTGAGTGAAAGGTATCCCAAACCCAAATCTGAGATGACAGTGCATCACCAATGTTAGTGTAGCACCAACGTAGCTATTGTGTCCTATTCTCTCTCAGCACAGAACATATATTTAACAAAAAGATTCATTTCCAAGGAGCCAAGAGCATAGCAGGAGTCCAGAGCAACAATGCTTATACCCACCATCTGTGGAGTGGCATGCTGACAACAACCCCGTGTCAACCACAGATGAAAGCAGCCAACCAACACACTTGGATGTCAGTATGCTCCTTTGATGTCATGTACAGATAGCGTTTGAATTCTCTCCTGCAATTACATTCCTTTTCACAAGGCATACACACAGGGATAGAATTGTGGCTACTCCATCTAGATGCCTCCACAGCTCACTTGGCAGAGATAGCCCCAATAGAAAACCTAGGGTCTCTCCCTCACAAGGGTTCATGTCTGAGGGTGGGGCTTGAGGAGGGGTCTCCTTTTTACAAAGCAAAGTGGATCCCCACACTATCAGCCCAAATTAGTCAATGCAGATATGAGCAAACACAGGGCTTTTATAAAGCATTCATATGAATGTCTATCACATGTGGAAGTAAAACTTGTGTAAGCAACCCAGATACTGACATTAGATGCAATGCTCAGATCTCAACATTTTTGCCCAAGACAGGCAAGATAGACAGAAATGTCCCAGGTTCACATCAACATTGCTCAAACACAAAGTATGCAATAGTTTCATGTTCTACTTACTGTCAAGACAGCCATATGGAGCTGGGAGAAAAAAGAAATGGTCGAAAATCTGTAGTTTCATTTAAAATGTAAAAAAACAATGATTTTATGTTTAGAGCCAATGAAGAAGTTGGTGAATACCCATCACTTTGTTCAAATCACTACTAACTCCTAAAACTTGTTTGTTTTTTTTGCCATCAAGTCACAGCCAACTTGTGGTGACTCTGTAGGGTTTTCAAGGCAAGAGACACTCAGAGGCGGTTTGCCATTGCCTGCCTCTACACAGAGACCCGGGTATTCTTGGGGGGGGGGTGTGTCTTCCAGCCCAATGCTGACCAGGGCCGACTCTGTTTAGCTTCCCAGATCTGACGAGATTGGGCTAGGCTGGGCTATCCAGGTCAGCGGCCTAAAACTCTAGAAAAAGAAAATCTGGCTTCTTTTTCTAAATGCAATGTGATCTCAGCCACTGATAAATGCTAAGGGCTAAAGATCACATGACATTGGCAATTCATGCTTCAGATAACATAATTGTTAGAATGTTGAAGCCGGACTGCACAGACCCATGTTCAAATTATTGCTCAACCATGAGGCTCCTTGGACCAGTAATCATATTTCATAAGAGGGATATGAGGATTGAACACTATGCTGAACTACCTGAAGGAAAGGTGGAATTAAAATGTGACAGAGCCCTCCAAATATATTTTAGTCTCAAAAAGCAGTGGGGGAACATACAGATTGGCCCACAGTGGTGGGGAATGGGAAAATTAACTCCCTCTCCTCCATGGCTAGATAAGAACATAAGAAGACCCCTGCTGGATCAGACCAATGGTCCATCTAGTCCAGCATCCCATCTCACACAGTGGCCAACCAGTTCCTCTGGACAGCCAACAACAGGACATAGAGGCCAAGGCCTTCCCCTGATGTTGTCTCCTGGCTCTGGTATTCAGAGGCTTAGTGCCTCTGAATGTGGAGGTTCCCCTCAGTCACCATGGATCCTTTTGGTATTGACTCCCTGACTGAACCTGGTTCTCCCCGGTGCCCTTAGCCCTGGCAGGCAAAAAAGGTAAATGTGTCTTTTTCTCTGGACTGTGAGAATACCCCAGGGATCCCAATTATCACTGAGCAAATGGGCAAAGAATAGTGTTTTTTTTAAAAAAACAACAACTTTTTTTCAGTACCACCATCCCAATCTTTATTGCCTTCTACAGCTAATTTCTGAGGCTAAATTATACAATGGATGAGACAATCATCTCCAAAATCAAGTACAGTTTGCCCATCTGTTTCAAGTCTCAATTATTCCTTCTCTTCCCCAAGGCAATATCTGAAACTTGTGCAATTTTTCAATGTGCAAGAGGCACCACTGACACCTTGTGGCTACATGAGGTAATTACATCCACTCAATTAAACAGACTAATTCCTTTAGTTGCTTCCATCTTTATTAAAGTCCTGTATACATTCCCTTTCCATACCATGTTATGCAACTGTTAAAAGATGCCAGAAGAAAGCAGGCAACACTAACCCTGTGTCCTGTATGCTCCAACTGCTCTCTACTTGTTTATAGCAAAACAGTTGGCAAAAGAAGTTCCAAATTAAGGGTGGAACAACACTTTACTATACTTTACATAAACTATACAATCACTTTAAAGTGTTTTTGTTCTTCTACTGACTTAGTGCGAGAAAGAAGAGAGAGCTTTAATTGGAAGTCTCTGAACTTCTATGTGCTAAAAAGGAATCTTTTCCATCTCTGAACAAGCAAGTCTCACCATTCTGCTGCACTCTCACCAAGTACTGAATCAAGGCAAGAGGCATGGGCCCATTTGATCTTTACTCAAATGCATTAATAGCAAGTCTTCCACAGAGAAGAAAAAAATGGGGTGGCTCTCCCCTCTCCCAAGGTCACAGTGCATGAGTTGAAGACTACTGATATCATTTTTTTACATTAGTAGCCATCAGAACGTCCTTTGGAAACAAGGTTGTGCTTTTGATTTATCTTTTAGAAAATTGTTGCAATGTGTGACACTTAGAATTTATATTTGTAAGATGATAGAGAGTAATGATAATATGACAGAAGCAGAAGAAAAATTCTGTATCTCTACTACAAAATAATAATATGTATTAGGAATCTGAATGCAGGGGCAAACTGTACCTACTAAACTTCTTTATGTTCTGGAACTACTAAAGGCAAAGAGTCTTAATATATTGGGGGGAACCCTAACTAAAACATAACATCCCAACATGCAACCACAACAGCATGAAATTGATTTGATTTATGGACACTGTGGACATTTGCTTCATTTACTCCTGTTGCAGAATCTGTGAAGATTTAGCATACAGTCCGATATGTACTTAATCTTTATAAAATCAATGTACAAGTTTATACATCATTTAAATTAAACAGACTGAAGTTTGAAGAGCAGTTACTGAAACAATGCTCTCTCGCTCTCTCTAAGCTCTGCTTCAGTTACTGCCCTTCAAATCTAAATCTGGGAAAGAACACACAAACACGCACACACACACACGTATGTATATTCTTTCCCTTTTAATCCCCACCTTCCTGTCCTCCTTTTGTTGTCTTCCCTTATACTGGAAACTTCTTGGGGCATGGGTCTTGTACTCTGTAAAGTGCCAAGCACATTGGTGATTGAGGGCACGAATCAAGACAAGCAGCACAGGACAGATAATTTCTGAGAAATCTGCAGAAAACTGAGGACAAGAGTCTCCACCACCACCACATCAACAGAAAGCTCGTGAGGAAACTGCACAATATTTAAAACACACGCAATTAAAACATAATTAATAACTTACATACTTCTTTTCCAGTGCATCAAAGCATCCCTGAATCCTGATAAGACAGAAATGTGTAAATATATATAAAAGCAGAATAGTCTGAGCTGTCGCAAGGCATCTGGAGCTCACCACTAACAGAATTGAAAGGGTTTTGGAATAATGAATCGGTAATAATGACATAATAATTTCTGTCCTTTTTTGGAGCTTGTACAGAGCCAGGGACCAGCTACAAGGTCCTAAGACTTAACTCCACATTTTCTTGATCCTTACCATTTGACTATTTGCAGTGAACCAAGGCAGCTTTTATCTTCCCGAAGGACTTTTAGGCACATGTCTGAAAAACACATACACACAAACCAGAGTTAATGTATTTTCATTGTTGCTTTCCATGTACCACACAAAAACAGAATCCATTCCTGTCTAAAGAAGGTGCAGTTCTGCACACCATGTTTATATCTGTAGCATAAGATAATTTTTAAATAATAACCCCAGATGTTTCAAACAGCCTTAAATAACTTAAAATCTAATAGCCATTTTGCATGTTACTTTAAAGTGGATTGACTGTGTCTACAAATACCCACCTATTAATAGCACTCTACTTGTAATGTGCAGTTGCTAATCCAGAATACCGCTTCCTAAAGTGATTCTACACTCATAGGCTTGGATCCACCAGAGTTTTTCTGTGGAAGGATTTCTATCTGCAGACCACAACTTTCTCACCTACCGTAAAATAAAGGACCTCCAGAAAGAGGATTTCAGGAGGCATTTCAGGCTGCTGTGAAAGGCAGAAATCCGTATGCATGCAGAGAAAACAACCTATGGTGACTCCAAGTTATAATCACTAATACAGGATAGAATCCACACATCATCACCAATAGATCTATTTCTCAATGTGGATACTTAAATCTCTCTGTGTGGGGGGAAAAACCCCAAAATAATAGAAGCAGTGCCTGTACCTTTAAGAAGGGATGCTCTCAGTGGCCATTGTGGGGGTTGCTAGGCAACCACAGCACTATTGCAAGCCTTCAAAATTTAGTCAGTAGAAGTCAGGCAGTAGGAGAAGGGGCCTTTCCAGGGATATTTTGGCCTCCCAGGCCACCCATGCTCCCATCCTTTCTGCCCAGCAGAGAGGACTAATGGGGGCCAAGCTCAGCGGGAATGACTTGCTACCATGCAATATGTACAACTCATCAAGGTATGGTGGTGGCCGCAACTTGGCTGGTCAAGTTACTGAAGTAAACAAATAATAAATAAATCTGAAGGGGGGCAAATAAAAGAAATGTTAGTTGGTGAGTAGGGAGTAGAGAAGGAAACAGGGAAATGGGAGAGGGTATGGAGTCTACCGGAAAAGAGAGAGGAAATAGTGTGAGCAAGGGAACATAGGGAGAAATCTCTCCACAAGTCCTTAATGGTTCCCCACTTATTCATAAATTTGGCTTCAGAAACAAGAAAAAGCCACTCTTGATCTGCCCTGTGAGCTTCAGGGCTAAACTATGCACTGGAATTTGAGCATCCTCTTCACCCTTCAAAGCTTGTTTGCCTTTGGCTTACTGCCAATAAATATTAGAGTTCTCCTGAGGATAAAATCAACTGAATTCAGCTTCCAGTTAACTATAAATAAATAAATAAATAAATAAATGGGGCTAACATTGGTTGACCTATTTGGAAACTTAGGTAAAGGTTTCCCTTGCTTGAAAGCCAGTCGAATCCGACTCTAGGGATGCGGTGCTCATCTCCATTTCCCAGCCGAAGAGCCAGCACTAGTCAAAAGACATTTCCGTGGTCATGTGGCCGGCATGACTAAATGCCAAGGTACACGAAATGCTGTTACCTTCCCACCAAAGTGGTACCTATTTATCTACTTGCAATTTCTTGCTTTCAAACTCCTACGTTGGCCAGAGCTGGGACCAGAGACAGGAGCTCACTCCATCATGTGGCACTCAGGTCTCGAACTGCTGAAACTACCAACCTTCCGGTGTGCAGTTCAATTTCTTAACCACTTGAGCCACCGCAGCCAACCTGCAATTATTCTATCTCAAACCAAAATACATGAGATCAACTGAAGTTCCATGACTGCAGCTCTAGATATACAATTTAGTCTTATAAAGCAGATGTGAAGAGGCTATCTAAGTGTTTCATAGTGCTAAGGAATGTGGTTTAACACACACCCCATTTTCTCAATTGGAATTTCCCTCCCCCCTGAATGCTTTGATACCAGGTAGGTACAGAAGAAAGGTTCACATATTGTGCTTGTTTTTGGTCCCTGCTGGGGCTAAAAGCAGCCTGGAGCAATTCTGACCACAGATGTGACATGCAGGGGAAGAATCACCTTCTCCTTCTTCAACACCATGGCCCTGATCCAGATCAAGGGCCCCATAACTCTTTAGAGTGAAAGGGCATAAGTGAAGTTCCAGTCACAGAATTCATGAACTAACAGAAGAGTTAAAGGCAACAAATTATATTACCATCTAAATAGCGAGTTCCATAAGAGCTTTCTGGGAACAGCCCTCTGAGATATGTTATACAGGAGACTGAAATTGCCAGAAGTCTTTTCACCAGAATCATAGACTGTTGCTCAGTAGCAACTCTGTTTGGAAACAGAACCGTTTCCTGAAAAGACAAAGATATATCTTCTATTAGTTTTAGACAGCAAATAAATAAATTATGTCCTTCCCCCCCCCCCTTCAAATGTTTCTTGTGGTCCCACATTTTGTACCTTGGATGTTTTTTGCTTTTGTCCACTATGCAAGAGTTGAGCAGTTGCCATATTATTTTAGTTGATTTCCATGCAGCAGGAAACCTGCAGTAAGATCAGAAGCATTAGCTACTTGGGAAATACAAAAGAAAGAAAGAAAAGAAATATATACTACCTGTGCTAGGCCTGCAAACAGTAACTAACCTGATTGCCAATGGTAAGAATTGGCTTTTGGCAACCAGCTATCTAGGATATTCAGCAGCTGGTCCCTCCTCCTTTTCTGAGCAGGCCAGTTATTATTTTTATAGAATTTATAGGCTGGCAACTAGAGTATTTCCAAGGCTGATGTGTTATATTCTAACTAACAAATTGTGATTGTTGTAAGTTGTCTCTTGTTCACATGTTGCTGTTTAAAATAATAACTCTTAACATTCATATAACGCCTTAGAGTATGCAAACAATTCCAGAGAAACTGGCTTTTATCCCACAGAGGATTTATGTTGCTGGAAGGAGGATGATTTTTGCCAGTTCTCCTTCCTGCTACAAATGTTCAACTCTCCCTGCAACTAATCAAGAGGGGTCCGTCACAGAGGAACAGCATTTTGGGGAGCACGGAGTGGCTTCATACTATGTTCAATCATACCTCTTTCTTTTGCCACTGCATATCACCAGGATACCGCCAGGATATCTATCCAGTCTCTCAAAACTCTTCTCATTACTTTAAGTTCAGCTACTTGATTAGCAGTCCAGTATAAACATACATGCAAAGCTGCCTTCTAACAATTCAGACTACTATTAAGCTGAGTAACTATCTATTTTGCTCAGCAGTGGTCTCCCGGGTCTCTCAGGCAAAGAAAGATCTTTCCTAACACCTGCTACCTAAGAAACAATGAACAGGAGTCTTGTGGAAACTTTGTAGCATAAACTCTCACAGACTAGAGCCACAAAATGTTTTCGCTACAATAAGAATTTGTTAGACTTTAAGGTGTTAAGTAACTGAATACCATTTAAGTTCACAGTTATGCTTATTTTATAATTTAAACAGGCACAATAACTGCTGCATCATTCAAAAGCCAACTCTTCCTTCTGCTTCCTACCTGCTTCTTGTCCTACCAGACTACCAGGTTACACCTTTCTACATCCATTGATGTCAATGGGCTAAGAAGGGTGTCATTGTGTTTACGACTGTAAATTTTTCAGAAAGTAGTGATTCCAACTATTGTTTACAGCCACCACTATGTCCAAGAACAACATCAGTGCCATGAGATTCCTGTTTTTTCTTTGCTGCAACAAACAAAGTAAAGGTAAAGGTTCCCTTGCTCGAAAGCTAGCCGAGTCCAACTCTAGGGTTGCGGTGCTCATCTCCGTTTCAAAGCCGAAGAGCCAGCGCTGTCCGAAGATGTTTCCGTGGTCATGTGGCCGGCATGACTAAACACCAAGGCGCATGGAACGCTGTTACCTTCCCACCGAAGTGGTCCCTATTTATCTACTTGCAATTTCTTGCTTTCGAACTGCTAAGTTGGCAGGAGCTGGAACTAGAGACGGGAGCTCACTCCGTCATGCGGCAACTCAGGTCTCGACCTGCTGTACTCTTGACCTTCCACAGCCTGCAGTTCAGCATCTTAACCACTTGAGCCACCGCAGCTCAACAAACAAGCAGGCTTTTAAATTTTGAGACATGACAGCTTCCATTTAAAGCTTTTGAATTTTATTTTAGAAGAGGAAAAATTAGAAATGTATTAGTGCAGTCCTAACTCCTAAATCCATTGAAGTCTGCTGTTTTATTTAAGGAAGAACTGCATTGTACAAAGCAAAACATTGGCTGCTTGTGCTCACCTCTGTAATAGTTCTGCAAATTTTACCCATGTGCCCATCCTTCCCAAATCCCTGTAGTTTAGTTAATTTTTGCCATATTTAATGTGTTGGTGTGGTAGACATCCTCATTTAGCTAGTATGAATGTGAACAAGGTACAGGGAATAATGCCAGTACCAGGAAATTTAATGGTGGCAACATGAAGTTATTGATTTAAGGAATTCCCGAGGAGATGCTATAGTTAAAGTGCCACTGGACTTCTGTATTAATTATGAGTAGGTTAACCATTCTGAACTTTAAAAATAACTCCTCTTAATGCAACATATATGCTAAAATTCATAGACGTTTAAAACACATAGCCATTTAGTCTTGGGGACAAGGTTGTAGAAGTTTGTTATACAAAAATCATTCATTTCTTGGAAACCCAACCTGGATAAACCCTACCTAGCCCATCCTAGTGAGAATGGTCAGCTACAGCCCTGGAAATAGGCACAGAAGTGATTTTTTAAAAATCCCCACATCCTTGCAATGTAATCCTGAACAGGTATACCCTTCTGAACACTTTGACTACAATGGACTTGTAGTCCAAAGTATATAGTTCTGCTTAGGGTAGCTGATAGGGATAGGCATTATATTTCCTCCTCAGCAGGGCTTAATCATTCTGAGATCCAGGTATCATCATCATGCAGAGAACAAAAAAAAAAAGAGGTCCCTGCCCCAAGGAGCTTACATGCCACCCAATTCCAACTGCTTGTCTAGAACATGCCACCTTTCAAACTTAAAATGCTCAACACGTTTTACACCAGTTTAAAATATGGAAAACCGTAAAAATATTTCCATATATAAAATCATAAACCAGACAGCACTCATGATGTGGTTATTAATTTTAAAAGGGTTTTTAGAAAGCATATTTGGCCCTGGAAGGTAGCCATGGGCCGACATGCGGACACATAAAAGATAGATCTGGTGGCATGTTAAATACTAAGTTCTGAGTCAGAGCATATAGGGCAGAAAAGATTTTTTATAATCAAAATCACAGATTCTTGGGCTGGAGAAAGAGGAGGACCTGTTGCAAAATATTCCTGCATGAGTCCCCATGTAGTATTTCATTCATTTATTGTATGGCAGTTACACACAGAAAGCATATAAAGCACGCAAGGACTGGAATGGATGTGGCTGCTAATGCATCATGTGAGAGCTCATACAGCACATGAGATAGCGGGGAAGAATTCCCAGGAGTTTATTCCAAGAATAACCCTGGGATACATGAAGAATAGACGGGAAAGTTCCCCCGAGAATGTGCAGAGTGCGTTTCCCTCAGAATTCCCATCCTCCATTGATTAGGGACAGATGCACATGTGCGAATTCACGACACACTGAGATGCCCCAGCCTCCCACACGGTGCAGCGAAGGAGACGGAGAAAAACGGCGACCCACGTTCTCCTGGGGTGGGGTGGGGGGGTTGACAATCCCGAACCCGAGCCTGCCGCTTTCGTTCCCTTTACCTCCCCGTCCAAAAGGGTGGCCACTGAGTTTTAGGCGGGAAAAGGAGAGGTTTCTTACAACCTGAGGCGAGAAAAGCTGAGAGATCTTTGGCGCCTCCGCCCGTTGTCGCCGACGTCAGAAGCCTCAACACGCTCCCTTCCTTCCCGATGTCCCTCCGCCTCTCAGCCCACCCCCATCACCGCCTCCTCTTTCGCCCTTTCTGTTTTCCTTAATGCCAAGCGGGGTTTACACGAAACGGGGATGTGAATTTGGGGGTCTGGTTTTTGTTCCTCTTGAGGCGCCAAGAACTTCCCGTCATTTATATATATATTCATAATGAAAATACTTATAATTGGAATCATTCATATACTCATATATTTATTCTTGGGGGCTTCAGCCCCCACCGAAATTTCCCAGGAGGTCCTAAGCCTCCCCCGGGGGCAACCGGTTTATCCAGCCGGCCTTGCTCCCAGCCCTCCCCCCACCTTTGAAAGCGGAGGGCTTCCCGCTTTCCAATTCACCGGATGGGGGACTGGGAGGGAGGGAAGTCAGAGCAAGCTCCACCTACAGCTCCTCACAGCAGCCTCACTGTTCTCGAAAGTGGAGGGAGAGCGGCTGCAGCACGCACGTGGAGACTGGCTGCTTGTCCGCCCGCTGGCCCGCCCGCTGGCCCGCCCGCTCCCACACACACACACACACAAAGCAAGGTTAGTTGTACTGTACTATCTAAAACTGTGCCTGTTAGGTTCCTAGTGCCACTGGTGGGGGGGG